AGTATCACATACTGTCTGCTGTCGTAATCTGTGTACAGGTCCTCTCCACCATAGTTAAGGGCATATCCCTCCTCCAAATTTACCAACAGATAATACTTAGGAAGATATTGTAAAATAAATGCATGTACCTCATTCGTTGGCTTGGTTCGCCACAACTTCATAAGATTTTCTCTCAATTCAGGTGTTGTCCCAATTCCATAAGTACCATCAAAGAAAGACCAGGCTGCAGCTACACCCACATTGTCAAGGAATAAGTAGCTCAATGGTCTCGGAAGTTGGGATCCTACAAATCTGCTTATCAGTAACCTACATTTTAATAATCTCATCATGAAAATGAGATCTTAAACAATAAGCCTTTGTACCAAATATTTAGAGTTGTCAATACGGGCTGGCTCAGTCCAGCCTAGCCCAGTCCACGCATGCTTTGGTATTTGATGGGTTAGGTTGGGTTGGCCCACTATTTCGATGACCTTAAAATGGCCAGTCCAACCCAACCCTACGTGGATCACGAGCCCAACGGGCCGATACATAATTTTTTACAATTATTATTTATATTTTTCAAAATTTATGTTTTAACCTAAAATGTACGCGCGCGCGCGCGCGCGCGCGCACACACACACACACACACACACACACACATATATATATATATATATATATATATATATATATATATATATATATATATATATATATATATATATAGGAGGAGAATCTCAAAACAAACTACTCAAAAATATTGTCAAGGTGCTCATGGTATATCCAACACCAACAAATCATCCTCATCAAGCATATTTGAATCCTCTTGTGAAATAAAGGTGTCTTAACATCTTCATTTTCATCTAAATCTATAGTTATATGCAATGTTAATTAGTTAAACATTAAGAAATAGCTAAACTTTTAAGAACAAAATATATTTATATTCACATAAAAAATATTACCAGATTGAGATTGGACTACTCTTCTTCTTATTTTTAGTTTCCTATACTTATTTTTTATATTTTTAATTAAATATATTATTAAGCCCACGGGCCGGTTCAACCCTGCCTCGATCAAGCCTCATGGGCCACGGGCTTACTTGGGCCTAGCTTTAGAACCTCATTTTTAAATGGGCTCCAAAATCTTAGACCAACACTATTAAATTACAGCTTGGGTTGGGTCGGCCCAGCAAGCCAAGCCCATATTGTCGGCTCTACAAATATTAGTAGTTGAAAAGGTTGAGCTTTTATTTGTTTCATGGCATGGCAAGCTGATCTACAAGTAAAATTCTATTATTGGTAATGGTCCAAATGGGTTTATCAAATGTAGCTCCCTCACGGACCTTCATCTAGGAGATTTACGTAAAAATAGCACGAGCTAGCCAGTTTTTGGACTGGTCATTCAAAAATAGTCAGCGTTTGCAAAGTCATTGAAAAATAACCACTATTTTGCTGCAACACGAAAAGTTCCAGCATAATGTACTGGAGATCGGTGCACATGTGTATGAACTTCCAGCATATTAGGCTGGAACTCCAACACGCGGAAAGTTCCAGTATATTATGCTGGACCAGTATAATATACTGGAGTATTTTTCCGGATTTTGAACAGTGTTTTCGTTCAGATTTATCTTTACATGGAAAATGGCTAAATTTCGATTACTTTTGAAACTGTGGCTAGTTTTGAATGACCACTTGTAAATATGATTATTTTTGAATTTCTCCCGAGATTTATTGTTACACATTTGTATTAGAGCAAATAGGGTTTTTAAGTTCGAGTCTTACTGTCATCCATTATAAAAAAGAATTTTCAATGATAATCACACATTCTAACAGATTCACACGTTAGAGGACCCTCTCCCCCCCAGCTACCCGGCCTTCCACCCCAAACTACCATGAAAAAAATAGGTTCGCACGCGAAGACATAATTAAGCATATAATGGTGTGTTCTTTCTAACAACTTAAACTTTTAGATGAGAGATCATATATTCTAAGAGATACGTGGCCTCATTTGTTTACACTAAATAGAGGTCTGAATCTTAATCATTTAAATCTTAGACATTAAGTGTGTTTGTTTTTAAAGTCTGAATCTTAATTATTCAGAACTTAATCATTAAGCATGTTTATTTTTTTTACATCACAGTCATTTAATGGGTCTGAATAGGTCTGTATGACTAAGATCTGTAACAGAGACTTAATTTCATTAAGATGCTATCATCCATATTCATTATTAGATTCCGCTACCGCCTACCATTATCAACTACTACCATGCCACCCACCACCACCACCATCATCCTCAATCATAGCCACCACCATATCAACTACCACCACCCACCATCCCCACCATTCCCACCACCATCATTCTCAACCACAACCAACACTCATCCACCTCAACTACCACAACTAACCACCCCATCACCATCAACAACCATGCCTATCATTATAAACTACCACCACCCACCACCATCTTCCTCAATCACAATTACCACCACCACCCGCCATTATTAGCTATCCACCTATCACCACCATCCTCAGTTAGAATTGCCACCACTACCAATCACCACTAGCTACTACCCTGAACCACCACCATCAACCAAAACTACCACCAACCACCGCCTCTAGTCGGCATTCACAAGCACTACCGTTGGCCATCACCACCAGTAACTATCATACTTTTAAAAATTATATATTTTATTGACAGAATATTAGATTAAAAAGTATTTCATTTGAATTTTATGTTTATTAATTTTCAAATAAAGATTTATTTTATACTTTCAGATGTTAAAAATCAGTCTTAATTATTTAGTATTCAGATCTTAATATACATTGTAATATTCAGTATTCAAATTCAGATGTGTTAATACACATCTTGATATTCAGATGTGTATTTAGATTTAGACGTCTTAATATTAAAAAAACAAATGAGGCCTAAGGCCAAAGAATGTTTATGGTTACTCATAGTTTATGGCTTTTGGACCCGTTTAGAAGTCATACACGGACTGCCATTTGATTATTGACGTTCTTAACAACTGATTTCTATGTAACTATGGTTTATTGATTGAATGGGGGAAGATGAGCTGAAGATTGTGTCTCATAATGCATCATCACTGCTATTTATTTAAAAGTTAAAAGCACAACTGCTCTAGGCTACCGTCTGCAGTCCTAACATTTTCACAGTGAGTGCTATTTTTCCGTAAAAGAAATTTCAATTTTCTCTCGTATTTTTGCTTCATATTATCACCAATAGTAAATAGAATTAAATTGTCTTCTTTTTTGTTCCAACTATATCATAGATGAACACGATTGATTGAGGAATTGAGATAGAGCTATGAGGAACGGATCCATACTTGAGCTTCTATTGAAATGTTTTTTGCTTTACTTTCTTCTCCTGAATATTATAGAGGCTTTGTTCATCTACTATTTTAGTTGCAATGCCAATGAGCAATACTTTGACAGGCTTATTGATCAGTGATCTGCTTCCAATAATTGGCATAAAGGGATCCCTTTTAAAATTTCATTCTTTATGATGAGATTGATACATAATAGACTACCTATTGATGAGATCTCTACGAGTTATGGCTTTGTTGGACTGTCTATATGCTCTTGTTGTAAAGCTCCCAAAACTGAAACCATTTTACATGTGTTCATTAACGGTGATGGAGCATCAAATGCTTGGAAGTTATTTGGTGGCTATTGTGGTGTGAAAGCCACCACAGTTTTGAGACAAACTCTCTTTAACTGGTGGTTAGCAAAGTCAAAAATAGTGTTCACTCTTTTTTACTCCACTGCCTCCCATGCTTGATATGCTGGGAAATTTGGAAACAAAGATGTGCTATCAGATATGGAGATGGAAAACTTTCTGTCAAAAAACTTGTACTCCAGATCCAGAATATGATTTGCATTCTAATTAATGCCCAGTTCCCATTCTTGCCTATCTTTACTGAGTGGAAACATTTAGTCTATGTTGTGGAAAGATGCAAGCCTTTACTTGAGGTTATTCCTGCTAAATGGATTAAACCACCCGATGGTTGTTTAAAGCTCAATATTGATGGATGTAGCAAAGGAAACCCAAGGTTAGCAGGTGGAGGATGCTTAAGAAATCAATATGGAGACCTCATTATGGCTTACTCAACTTTCTTTGGCTCCTGTACTAACAATATGGCGGAAGCAAGGGCTATTTTGGTAGGCTTAATTTTGTGTATTGACGATGGATATAAAGAGGTCGAAATTGAATCTGACTCTCTAATCCTAATCAATGCAATAAACAATCAGGCTGGAACACCTTGGCAGATTGCCCATTTAATTGAACACATCAGAGAGATGAGGCAAGAAGGCGACATTAAGTTCACACTGCTACAGCGAAGCCAATTGCACTGCCGACTTGCTAGCTAATTGGAGCTTACATAGGAAAGCTTCTACTTTCTTCATGGAAGCTAACACTTTACCTATGATGGTGAGGGCTTCTTTGAAGAATGACAGAAACCAACTGGTCAACTTCCGAATTAGGACTACCAAAAAGTCATTCAATGCTTAGCCTTCCCAATATTGGCTTGTCCTATTGAGGAGTTTGTTTGGCCTTCACAGGCTTTTAATTTGGAGCGTTAGCTATGTATTTCTCTGTTTTTGTGCTCCTCTGCTTTTAACTAAGGGGCCAATTAGCCTAGTTTTGTCAACCCTTCTCGTATTGAGTCTTCCCTTTTTGTGGTTTTAATATACAGGTTGAGGTCATGCCTAACTTCTCACCATAATGGTGATATTAAGTGAGAAAAAATCTTGACCTCATTCAAGGATGGAAAACTTCAAAAACTCCTGTTTTCAGCCAACCGGTCAATTAAATCGGTAGTAATTTGGCGTTCGCCATGACAACAAACAATGTCCAGGACTGAGAAGAATATTCTGGACTTACTGCTTCTCTGGAGCAGCTGCCGCAGAGCCAGGCAGAATGAAAGGGCCACCAAGGCAACCCTATTTACTAGAAACATTAACTTGTCAGGTGGAAGGTAGACTCGCTGTGAGAACTGAGGCTGAAGGAAAAGTCAGATGCATGTATTTAACTACCAATCAACTCTGTGCCTTTTGATCAAACGGATATATCTATTAAATCAGACATGTCTCCTCTTCATTATTTTCAACTCAATTTGCAGTCTGGATGACCTTAGCAAAAGCCAATCTATAACCAAAACAGAGCATTAGCACGCTCCATAACTATGTCAAATACAACTACTGCTGCTTGCACTAAATTTTGCAACATCAGCTGGCTCTTTTTCCTGCATTTCATTTGGTCGCTGCAACCAATGCCATGTGCTCTATGAGGTCCAACACTCTGTTACTGCAGAATAAAGAGTCCAGCAGAATAATGTCAGTAAATATGTGGTAAACAAGGATTACAATAGGCTTCTCCTCCTTTGCTTTTTTTTTTTTCCAAATGATTTTTCTTATTTGGGATCGGGGTTGATGGTGGCAGGGAAAGGAGATGGTTGGTTCAAAGAAAAAAAGCATACCTGTAACCCCACTCATTGTCATACCAGGAGACAAGCTTCATGAAGGATTCACTCAGGCCCATCCCAGCTTTGGCATCAAATATGCTCGACCTACCCATTAAAACAATTGGTCATTATTCCTTCAGAATAATCACATGCAGTACTTTATTCATACATCATCCACAAACTAACTTTATTTTGAATTGCACCCTCACAGATAAAATCCTATTAAGAGTTGTCCTCTGGGTACTACATATATTCCTGTGTCCCAAAAGAATGGCAGAAGATGAATTTTATTGCATCCTCTTATTCCGAATGAGCTAGTCCAACTAAAGATACTATTGCATCCTCTTATTCACATGAACTTGTTAAAGTTCAATATATATTTTTTACATCAACTCGGTTGAGATCTTGCTATATTCGCCTTACATAAAATTAACAAGGAAATCAGAGCATACAAAATTTTCCTAGTTTCACATATCCAAGGAAATCTTTTTTGCAATAGGCTTCTCCTCCTTTGCATTTACAAAATTAGATTGATCTACTAATCATAGAAGTCATAAGAGAAAAAAGGTGATCCAACTCCGTCAACATACTCAGCAACTATCACAAATCACAACACCTTGCTCTTCTCCTGTACTATTTTGATTTAACCACTATAATATCCATTTATCACTGACTAGAGAGTCACATCGTCGTGAAAGACGAGACTGCTCATAGCCAGGGCGAAATGGTTTCACTAATTGATTTAAGAGTTTTCACCGTTAACTTTCTACCATGAAAGTGCAAGTAATCAATGCATCTCTGTCCATTCAAAGAACATTAATTTATAGAACTGAAGAAGAAATGTATGGTTAATTTTACAAAACCTCTTCTATGAAAGGAGATCGTGTTTCTTTTTACAGGTTTTATTGGGGTTTGTGGAATTTTAATGCTTTAAGCAGTCTGCCTTTTGGAGACAACTATAGAGAATAATTTCCTTCTGGCATTAATGTGCTATGATCAGACCAAAGGATGCTGTTTGAAACGTACTCCTGAAGCAAACTGAGTAGATGTAACTTTTGAAAAATACAAGGTATCTTTAAGGTAGAGAAATACATCAAAGTGAAGGTGCATGATCCCTAGCATCAGTAACAACTATTTCAATTCTATTTCAAGTGTGTCTGAGGCCAGGAGAGAACAATGTACAAATCTACCTGGAGTCACCAACAAAATCATTTGAGACGACATCCTCATCAGCATAACCCAAAATGCCTTTCAGTGAACCCTCTGATGCATGCCTGGCACAATGAATAAGCACCAAATACAAAACAAAGCAGCCAAGTTAAACAGCATGCATACACATAAATTTAAAGTAAAGCTGCAGAAGGCATACCTTATAGCTGCTTTCACATCATCATATGAAGCACTCTTCTCTAGCCGACAAGTTAAGTCCACGACAGAGACATTAGGTGTTGGAACACGGAAAGCCATTCCAGTGAGCTTTCCATTAAGTTCTGGAAGAACTTTTCCCACCGCCTGCCATTCAGATGAGACAATAGTATAACATCACAACAAACACACACCACCCAGAGAGAGAGCGAGAGGGAGAGACAACAACAACACCCAGGGGTCTGGCGAGAGGGAGAGAGAGAGAAGCAAATTGTCATGCATGTAATTAGTACCTTTGCAGCACCAGTTGAACTAGGGATGATGTTCTGCCCAGCACCACGGCCTCCTCGCCAGTCCTTCATGGAAGGACCATCAACAGTCTTTTGTGTAGCTGAACATAACAATGACCCAAATTTTCATCAAAGGAAGAATTAAAACATGAAGAGAGGCAGGCATGACTGATATATGTATAAGAAAGAGAGACAGACCTGTCGTTGCATGCACAGTTGTCATTAAACCCTCAACAATACCAAACTGTTCATGAACCACCTGCACGGAGAACAACATGGGGAAGCACATTCAGAGAATACAACAAACAAATCATGTGACTGTTCGAAGGCCTGTAAAGTAACCCAGTAGTAAAGCCAAACCTTGGCGAGTGGAGCAAGGCAATTAGTTGTACAGCTAGCATTAGAAACCACATCCATGGTGTCTTTGTATGTGTTTTCATTCACTCCTACCACAAACATAGGTGCATCAGCTGATGGAGCTGAGATTACAACTTTCTTGGCACCACCCTGCAAAGTAAATTTATAAGTGCCAACATGAAGAGCTGCATGGATTAGGGGTGAAAGAGGAAAGAACAGTCGAGAACAAGAACATTATTCAACCTTCATGTGTGCTGAGGCCTTGTCTACAGTAGTGAAGACACCAGAAGATTCAACAACAAAATCTGCACCAAAGTCACCCCATGGAATCTCTGATGGGTTCCTGTAATAATGATGTTTGCCCGAGTGATAGCAATAAACCAACCACGCAGTTAGACTCAACTTGTACCCTACCCGAACAGGTTAGTAGATACTGCAGAAGATGCTGTCATACCTTTTGCTACTAATTTTAATCTGCTTCCCGTTGATTTCCAAAGTAGACTCATCCACTACCTTTAAGGTTCCCTTGAAGACCCCGTGAGTGGAATCATACTTGAACATGTAAGCCTAAGAGAACAAATTAATGTCACATGACTGCTATACTCCAAAATATTAAAATTTTATTTTCAGCATATGACAACTTAAGCGGTCAGCAGAGGAGGAATGCTAAAGCAATGGAAGGATGACAGCATCAAACAGAGCACTAGAGGGAGAGATGATTCACTATGTAAAGGCAGAAAATGCAGTGATTTTATGCTAGGATAGCCATTTCCAGGGATTTTGGTTTGGCGTAGTACCTAGCATTCAATTAAAGACGAACTTTTGCATATGTAAAGTTTATACCCATGAAATTCCAGAGCTATCCTTCCCATCTTCAGGAGTCAACTTTTAGTAATCACATCAGCAACATCCATAAAAAGCAATATTTCCTATAAAAGGGCCTGAATAGCCGGGTTCTATGTTACCATAACAAATCCTAATTTAGTGCAGAACAAAAGACTGTAGTTTCATGTAGCATATTTTTACCATGTACTTAGCATCAATAAATGGGTCATTAACTGCCACGACATCAATATCATCCCTAGACGTTGCAACTCGTAACACTAATCTCCCGATACGTCCAAAACCTGCAACTTTGAACATATTAGTTATCAATGTGCAACAACTTTCTTAAAAGAATATACAATACATTTGATTATCCATGATAGGGAAACATGTATTCATGACCTTCTGAGGTAAGGGATATTAATTGTGGCGAAGAGAGAAAGACAAGCAACAGAAGTTGGACCACAATATTAAGAGACAGAATCCAAGATTGTAACTTGATGGATTCAATCTTTGAAGTCTTAGCACTAAACTTACTACACTTTTATATTTATGGGTTCAAAATTTAATATACACACACACATACAGTGGCGAGTTTTTAGCAAAAATTATCCCTTCTGTATGGGAGTACGTTTATTTTTATCCCTTAAAAATGCACATGAGCACATATCGTCCTCTAAGTTTACTGAAAATGAGCAAATATGGTCTAGCTAACGGAATTATCAAACTTGAACTGAAAAACTAAGAGTGATCTCACTGATCTACATGTCAGAATGCAAGAACCAGACTAGTCTTTTTCCAAATCTCAAATACACAACGAAGCTTCCTTTGCAGTGAAATCAACATCCAACGATTGCACGTCAAATTGCGGCGATGGAGATGACTACATCAAGTTCGAACTAGCAGAGGCTGTCATCGACAACGCCAGTGAATCTAACAACACCGGCACTGTCGATGTCTCTTCTACAATCTCATTGTTATTCACAGTATTTATAATCTTGATAAGTTCATACGTCATCTTCAAACCATCAGAACAGTTATGCATAAATATGTTTTCATAGTTTATATTTATATCATATAAAAACAGAGTGATTAACACAAAGAGGTAGAGAGAAGCAGATGGCAGAGTTACTTTAGCTAATTCACCTATGCAGTCACTGTATTGTGTATGAGTGTCTTTCTCTCCTTACTTTCTCTGCCTAAAAGTAAATGCTTTACAAATAAAGTTACACTTTATATAGGAGACCTCCATGGCTTAAAACGTATACAGAGGGAGAAGCATATATAAATATATAGATACTCAAACACGTACAAAGTATATATAAATGTAGAAATTAATATGTAGAGATACAAATTGCAGCAGCAGCAACAATTGGAGGAGGCGATAAACTTGTGTGTGTGTGTGGGGGGGG